GCCTGCCTCACCAGTGGCAAAACGGGCCTCTGCTTTTGCAGCCTCTGCCATGGCCACCTTCACTATGGTCCCACATTCAGCTGGACATCTGCAGGGAGCTACACGGCGTTCCTCAGCACTAGCGTTTTCTTCTGGTTGTGTATGACCCACTGGCTCTGTTACCACTGACGTAGTTATCAGTTTCCTCTCCTCCCTGTTTACCAGCTGGGGTGTGCCAGACACCATCACCACGGACAACGGGCCTCAGTTCATCTCGGCCGACTTCGCCACCTTTGTGGAGGAGAGGGGAATTAAACACATCAGGACTGCCTTATCAGGCCAATAGAGGTGTGGAAATATTCAATCAGAACCTCAAGAACGGGCTCAGAGTGCACCTAGCAGACAACCGCCCATTTTCAGCAGCACTGCAGAATATGCGCTTCATTGCAGGGCAACATCACATGCCACTACAGGCAGTGCTCCTGCCCTTCTGATGCTGAGATCTGAACTTCAGCTTCCCCTGGACCGCCTGTGTCCTCCATTGAACGCCATTCCAGTGACGGCACCCTCCCCAGCCGGGAGAATAGAGCAGCAGCAGCAACGCCGCATGAAGCAGAAGTTCGACAAGAAGCGCCGGGTGAAACACCCCTCCTTCACAGTCTCAGACTGGGTCCGAATATGCCGGCACAATCACTCCCACAAGCTGCGCTCACTCTGGTCTGAGCCTCAACAGATCACTGCACAGCTGCGCCTACCTCCCTTCTGCTTGACTGACGGTTCACGCTGGCACGCCAGCCGCCCTAGACAGGTGGCTCGGCCAGACACCCACGACTGATCCGTGCCACACTGATGGGGACTGGGACCTCGCTGATGTCAGGCCAGCGACCCATTAGGTGTCCACCTGGGCCAGATGTACCAGCCAACCCTCAGCAGCCTGGGCCCGGTCCTGTTCGGGTCCATCGGAGGCCACACCACAGTCCTGAGTCAATGTCAAGGTAATGTTTAGTTCTACACAGAATCGAAGATGAGCCTGACCTCAATCTGGGCACTGCATTCTCTGCTGAAACCAACAGAAGAAATGAGAATGCAGACATTTATGTTCTTTTAATGTATTAACCCAAACATGAACAAATACAGTTTCTTCTACATCTATACAGCACTACCATTTTGTAAACAATGCGTATGTAGTCTATTATTAAATCTTAAAATTAAAAAGGTAATCGTTGTACATCATTGCTGTTTCTAGAATGCTTCAGTGTAATGCATTTGTTTCTAAAGGATGAAATATATTGAGATGGAACTTAAAAAAAACGGCTCAGATGAGGCAGAGGAACAGAAGGTCAAGGTGAAGAGTATAGAAGACCACATGTACGAATTACCTGAGAACATTAGAGTCAACTATGGTAAGACAGAGATGTTGTCCAATCAGATGCTGAGTGGCATCCCTGAAGTTGATCTTGGCATTGAGTGCGTATACACAATTCTCCAAATTATCTTGTTGCACTTAATTAGGGAACAGACATCTCAACTATTGTTTGATAAGTATTAAACTCTTTTGTATTTTATTTCCTAGTGCCAAAATTAAGAACATCATCCAAACAGAAGAGGCAAAAGCCACGCTTCTGGCAGAACAGAGGAACAAGAAGAAAGATCAGGGCACGTCATTTGTACCGACCAATATTGCTGTCAACTATGTCCAACACAACCGCTGTAAGTTTTTATCCTAACACTAGTGCTTAAACAAAGCATTACTAAAAAGTTTATGAACATGCACATTTATTTCCCCAAGTCTATCACGAGGATGCTAACGCACCACAGAGGCATCACAGACACAAAGAAGAGCCTAAAGCTAGACCACTGCGCGTGGGAGACACTAAGAAACCAGGTCCAAAAGGTAAGACTCAATGAGCTGACTGAATCCAAGGCTGTTTTCATCCCAAGAACTCAAAGAACATCAAATAATTCTTTCTGATATGTCCAGATTTAGCTACCTTTTTTAAGGATACACTATTTTGCACTGTACTGCAGTTAAGGTGGAATTGGAATCTTATGTTATTTTCTTGCTTTTTATTCAGTGGCACCTTCACCGCCCAACTTTCGCAAAGGACCCAACAATCAAAAAGCCACAGATGACTATCACTATGAGAAATTCAAGAAGATGAACAGATGATACTGAGGAGCCTATTGTTTTGTTTGGACAACTATTAGAGGTCCCCTCCTTGAATCGCAACCTTAACGTGGTGGAGGGGTTTGAGTGTCCGAATGAGCCTAGGAGCTATGTTGTCGGGGGCTTAACGCCCCAGGTAGGGTCTCCCAAGGCAAACAGGTCCTAGGCGACCGATCAGACAAATAGCGGTTCAAAACCCCCCTTGATGAAGAAAATAAATCAATCAAAGAGGTTCACGTCGCCCGGACTGACGTCTCCAGGGCCCCACCCTGGAGCCCGGCCCGGGGTTGGGGCTCGCAGGCGAGCGCCTGGTGGCCGGGTCCTTGCTCACGGGACTCGGCCGGGCTAAGCCCGAACAAGCGACGTGAGCCCGCTTTCCAGTGGGCCCACCACCCGCAGGAAGGCCCAAAAGGGGCCGGGGCCTT